CCAGTGCTGCACACAGTGTGTGTTTACATTAAAAAGCCTGCAGGGACCAGCTATAGACACCAGAATCACTTCATTAAGCTATAGTGTCCCTTTAATGTGAGGTACATTATAGATTAGTGTCACTAATAATATACTAGATTGCCTACTTACAAGCAGATGAGGATGATGATGGGCTGCAGTTTGGCTCCACTGGACCACCCCCGGGTTAGCCCCCCCATATTGAGAATTTTAACAAAAGATTATTCCATTTGTTAGATCTTTGTTAGATCAGGTTTGATCAACAATTTTTTTCGTTAGATCTACTTTAAAATATGCGATATTAACAATCATTGTCAGGGGGGGCTAACCCGTAGCCAGCCCCCCCTCAACAAAAATTTGGAGAAAATGTTGTTGATTATGATAGCTCTACGTTAGATCAGGTTTGATCAGGCAAAATTTTTGTTTGATCTAGTCTAATTACTGAGATATTGCATATATAATTAGGGCTGGCCCCCCCTCAACTGAAATTTGGACAAAATGTTACTGATTTTGGTAGCTATTCGTTAGATCAGGTTTGATCAACTGTTTTTTTCGTTAGATCTATCACGCAAGAGGCGGTATTCACTACTTAACTTTGTGGGCGTGACTACGGGTTAGCCCCCCCTCAAGTGAAATTTGAATTTTTTTTATTGATTTTGGTAGATATTCGTTAGATCAGGTTTGATCAACTGTTTTTTTCGGTAGATCTATCACGCAAGAGGCGGTATTCACTACTTAACTTTGTGGGCGTGACTACGGGTTAGCCCCCCCTCAAGTGAAATTTGAATTTTTTTTTATTGATTTTGGTAGATATTCGTTAGATCAGGTTTGATCAACAATTTTTTTCGTTAGATCTATCACGCAAGAGGCGGTATTCACTACTTAACTTTGTGGGCGTGACTACGGGTTGCTCCCCCCTCAAGTCGAAATTTGAATTTTTTATTGATTTTTGGTAGATGTTATTCGTTAGATCAGGTTTGATCAACTGTTTTTTTCGTTAGATCTATCACGCAAGAGGCGGTATTCACTACTTAACTTTGTGGGCGTGACTACGGGTTAGCCTTCCCTCAAGTGAAATTTGAATTTTTTTTTATTGATTTTGGTAGATATTCGTTAGATCAGGTTTGATCAACTGTTTTTTTCGTTAGATCTATCACGCAAGAGGCGGTATTCACTACTTAACAAAGGGGGCGTGACTACGGGTTAGCCCCCCCTCAAGTGAAATTTGAATTATTTTTTATTGATTTTGGTAGATATTCATTAGATCAGGTTTGATCAACTGTTTTTTTCGTTAGATCTATCACGCAAGAAGCGGTATTCACTACTTAACTTTGTGGGTGTGACTACGGGTTAGCCCCCCCTCAAGTGAAATTTGAATTTTTTTTTATTGATTTTGGTAGATATTCGTTAGATCAGGTTTGATCAACTGTTTTTTTTCATTAGATCTATCACGCAAGAGGCGGTATTCACTACTTAACTTTGTGGGCGTGACTACGGTTAGCCCCCCTCAAGTGAAATTTGAATTTTTTTATTGATTTTGGTAGATATTCGTTAGATCAGGTTTGATCAACTGTTTTTTTTCATTAGATCTATCACGCAAGAGGCGGTATTCACTACTTAACTTTGTGGGCGTGACTACGGTTAGCCCCCCCTCAAGTGAAATTTGAATTTTTTTTTATTGATTTTGGTAGCTATTCGTTAGATCAGGTTTGATCAACTGTTTTTTTCGTTAGATCTATCACGCAAGAGGCGGTATTCACTACTTAACTTTGTGGGCGTGACTACGGGTTAGCCCCCCCTCAAGTGAAATTTGAATTTTTTTTTATTGATTTTGGTAGCTATTCGTTAGATCAGGTTTGATCAACTGTTTTTTTCGTTAGATCTATCACGCAAGAGGCGGTATTCACTACTTAACTTTGTGGGCGTGACTACGGGTTAGCCCCCCCTCAAGTGAAATTTGAATTTTTTTTTATTGATTTTGGTAGCTATTCGTTAGATCAGGTTTGATCAACTGTTTTTTTCGTTAGATCTATCACGCAAGAGGCGGTATTCACTACTTAACTTTGTGGGCGTGACTACGGGTTAGCCCCCCCTCAAGTGAAATTTGAATTTTTTTTATTGATTTTGGTAGATATTCGTTAGATCAGGTTTGATCAACTGTTTTTTTCGTTAGATCTATCACGCAAGAGGCGGTATTCACTACTTAACTTTGTGGGCGTGACTACGGGTTAGCCCCCCCTCAAGTGAAATTTGAATTTTTTTTTTATTGATTTTGGTAGATATTCGTTAGATCAGGTTTGATCAACTGTTTTTTTCGTTAGATCTATCACGCAAGAGGCGGTATTCACTACTTAACTTTGTGGGCGTGACTACGGGTTAGCCCCCTCTCAAGCAAAATTGATTTTGATAGATATTCGTAACAATAGAATGTACAAGTACAATTGCAAAATCGTTATGTCCATAGCTTACAAACTGATAACGCTTTACATGGCTTCATTACATTGTTGTGAACAGTTACATTTTATGAATGCGAGGGTAGATATGGTGAAGAAAGTGGAGAATGGTGTAAAGTGTGAGGAGGATGGGGTGGATTTACTTTAAACCAGGTATGATCAACTGTTTTTGTCATTAGATCTATCACTCAAGTGGTGGTATTCACAATCTTATTTTGATTTTGCACATAAATAGCAGTTGATTTTCATGTCAAGTCACAGGTGTCATCATAAACAGGAGATACCACAGACAAATATTCTCCTAATTTAGGAATTTGCTTGGAGTTTTGTTAACACAATGTGTAGGTCATTTTTAATATTTGTTTTATTCTCTACATGCACATTATTTAGGTGATAAAGTCCAGCATATGCCCAGCCTGTAGTTAATAGTGATATTGGAATATGCAAGGATAACCCTGAGTAATGCTGTGTATGACCTATTCTTTGATTGGATAATAATTTTCCCTCCAATTATAACAGTTGTCAAAGAAACACATACTGGTAGAAGTAAGCATCTGTGTGTTACGGTGGGTATTGGTTTAAGGTGTATGGGATATTTATATGCAAGTAAGAAATTAGCTACTTTCAGTGTATAATTTCCATGGGTATATTTGTTTATCAGCATGGATATGCTTATAGACATGTGCATGTATGACAATATTACATTTTCAGCGACAGAACAGCAGAAGTCATGACTGTCCCAACAATCCGGCACTTTTGGCAGCTATGCACACCCACCTATGTGCAGGCCATTAGTAGTGGGGCGCAAGAAGGCAGAGATGTACTGTGTTGCAGTACTGGTTAATTATTTTGTATGTGAAAAACTGCATGTTTGCAGAAACTTAGGCCTCTCATGTGTCCTAGAGAAAGGGTTTACAAAAAGGGAAATATTGAGAAAATTAGAATTTTCCTAAAAACAATTGATGGATATTGTAGAAGTTAAAGGATAACTGTCTGCAAATAAATAAGTTGTGCTTGAGAGATTGCAGCAGGTGTTGGCATTTTATATAGAAATGCTTTAATAAAAAAATACAAATTAAGTATATTACTAAGCTCTCTATGCCTATACAGCTCTATCAGTGGACAGACACTTTGTTCAGGCTCTTGTCTGTGTGAGGCTCAGTGTGTGTGAGGGGTGCTGTGTGTGGGGGGCAGTGTGTTTGTGGGAGCAGTGTGTGTGTATGGGGGGGCAGTGTGCAAATGTGTAAAGAAATATTGTGTGTGTGGAGGTAGGGGGGAGGAAGATTTGAAGCAAAAATATATTTATATATATTTTTTTCTTCTTATCTTTGCCCAGGGAGGGGGATATTACTTCCAAGTCCTAGTGGTCCTAGTGGGTAGTGTAGTCTAGCCTTCAGCTCCTGGGTACTCTCGCCAGATCTGGAGCATTTCCATGGTAACTGTGGCAACGCTCTGAGCTCGCGCCCCTCTGTGTCATTTCCCTCTTAACTCCTTTGTGTGTGTCATTGTCCCTTTCTCCAGCCCCTCTCTGTTTCACTGTCCCCTGAGACTGTAAACTCATTTGAGCAGGGTCCTCATATATTGTTCCTGTAACATTTGGTAACTGTCTCGTTTATTGTTAAACAATATTATTATTTATTACCAATAATAATAATAATAATAATAGTTATCTCCTTTCCCATCCCTTCTGTGTGTCTCTGCCCCCCCAAGCCCTTCTGTCTTTTCCCCCCTCCCCAGCCCACCTGTGTGCCACTGTCCCCTTCTCAGCCCTCACTGTGTCATTACCTTCTTTCCCAGCCTCTGTTTGCCTCTATCCTCCCAAAGTCCCTCCATGTTTCATCCTCCTCCCCAGCCCCTTCATGTATCTCATTCTCCCCCTAGCCCCTCCATTTATCAGATTCTCCCCCCTAGCCTCTTTGTGTGTCTCACCCCCCCACAGTCCCTCATGTGTCCATCCATGTTTCTTATCCCCCACAGCCCCTCCATGTGTCTCATCCCTCCATGTGTCTCATCCACCATCCCCTCTATGTGTATCATTCTCCCCTCCATGTGTCCCATTCGACCCCAAGCACCTCCATGTGTCTCATTCTCCCCACAGCCCCTCCATTCTCCCCCACAGCCTCTCCATGTGTCTCATTTCCCCAGCCCCTCCATGTGTCTCATTCTCCCCCAGCCACTACATGTGTCTTATCCTCCCTTAGCTCCTCCTTTTGTCTCATCCCCCTAACCCCTCCATGTGTCTCACCCCATCAGCCCCTCTATGTGTCTCATTCTCCCCCAGCCCCTTCATGTGTCTTATCCCCCCAGAGTCCCTTCATGTGTCTTACCCCCCACATGCCCTCAATGTGTCTTAGTCTGCCTGCTCAGCCCCTCCATGTGTCTTAATCTGCCCCCTTGTCTCTCATGCAGAGGCCCTTGTATACCGATTTGGTTACTTGAAAGTAGATTATATATGTAGCAATACGTTTATACTAGTAACTGAAAAAAGTCTAGTTTATCCATTAAAATTTTCTCATATTCTGGTTTTAGATGCCACGAAAACCAGCCATTGATAATCGCATTTTAAAAGAGACCTTAAAATCTTATCCAGGCATTTTTAATGATAAGGGAGAGTTAAAGTCAGCCTCTGATCCTATTTGGAGGGAAGTATGTTCTCACTCCTCCTTCCAGAAATATACCTCTGAGGCAAAAGAATCGGGCACGTCCCAGGGTATATTTAAACCAAAACAGATTCATGACTACATATTTCAAAATAGGTATGGTTTGCAGACTTTTTTGCGCATGGAATTTAGCAGCTTCTTACCTCAATCAAATGTTACTGAAATCATGGAAGAGCTGTGGTCTGACAGAAGCACAACTGATGAAGACTCTTCTGAAGGTGTCTTTGTGCACACGCAAGGAAATGAACCAACACTTCTATGGCAAATATCAATACCTTATGAAAAATATTTAGAAATTGAGCCAAAAACAGTGATCTATAATGAGGGTAACTGCAAGAAGAGGCGCAAGGTGCTTAAACAAAACACATGGACTGCTACAATCGCAGATGTGCTTTATAAGCAGCATGGAATCCCATGTGCTTTCTCCTTTAAGAGGAACAAAGTCCGTATAGGTGAAGACAAAACAAGAAAATTCATAACTGCAAATGGGCATTGCACAGAGTGCAAAGCAGTAGTGCATATTTCTGCAGAACAGGAACCTGATCTTGGTAACCCTTTAATTCTTCATGTTCGAGCCCCTGACACAAGACCCATACCACATTTAAAAAAAAATCAGTTGAGAGGTGAGAAGAGAAGGAAACTTGGAGAAGAAATGTTAAAAACATTACCCTCCAATTGGAGACGAGAAAAACTTGATTCTGAAATTACATTTGGAGAAAAGGAGCCACCCAACATGCCATCATTAAGAATTTGTCAAGATGCCAGACAGGAAGCTGTGGATCGCATGTTTGGTACACCTAAGTTGAAAGATCCGGTTTTATCACTCTCAGATGAAAAGTACTCATAAGTATGCAGGAGATATTCATACTATATCATATGACACTTTTTTTGTTCATTACTGGTCAAAGGAACAAATATATATTTATAAAATGTATTGTTCAAAGGCTTCCTTCTCCAAAATCCAGGTAGATGCCACAGGGAGTTTGGTATTAAAACTAAAACGAGAAAATAAATTGTCTGCTCATATTTTTTTATATGAGATTGTGATCAACTTTGAGAATACACAAATGAGTGTGTGTCAAATGTTGAGCGAAACACAAGATACTCCAACTATAACATTTTGGATGGAAAAATGGATAAAAGATGTACAGAAATTGCCTAAAGAATGTGTCTGTGACTTTTCTTGTGCATTACTTGGAGCAATCTCACGAGCCCTGAATGACTGCAGCCTGAACACCTACCTGAAGATCTGCATGTTGATTCTACTTGGGGAAAAAACTGAGAAACCCAAATGCTATATACGCGGAGATGTTGCCCATCTGATTAAAATAGTATGTCGGTGGAAGTGCTATCCAAAAAAAGCAAAACTTGTTAGGAAGTTCTACATTCGCTGTGTTGGACTCATGGTCAAGTGTGACTCGTTTGACATTCTAAAACACCTAGTTCTCAGTACTTTGATCCTTTCTGTATGTGAGACAACAGGTAAAGTCTGTGTCTCTGAAACATCAAAATATGAAACATCAAAGGCATACCTTTGTCATTGCATCGAGACTGGGAACTTTGAAATTATTGACAAATACATGGAGAATTCTGATGACCCTGAAATACTTAGTGATGAAAAAGAAAAAAACTATTCTGGACCACTGTCAGGTTGGCTAAATGACATAGTTCAAGAAGCAGAAAGAACAAGTCTAGAACAGGGGAACCAACCTAACCCTTATTTCTGTCCAAATTTTTCTCAGAATTTAGTCCATCTATTGAAATATTTTCCCATTTGGACATCTGTAATGCAACCGGTTTTTCAATCACCAAATAATACAGCCTCTTCTGCATCAGTTGAGGGAGATTTTGGCCGTCTGAAGAACTCCATTCTTCAGCATAATAAAACACCAATGCGAGTTGACAAATTTGTTGCATGTCATTTAATAGCTCTTTGTGGAAGTTCAAAAATAGCAGCTGCTGTACATGTTCCAGAAATTATTAGTTCAACAGTGCAGAGGGAAGAGGTCATTAATGAGTCTGGACATGAAAAATATTGTCAGCAAGTAAAAACATATGAAGAAGAAGAGGTTAGTGAACACATAAATAAACAGTCGGACACTCTACTGTCTCCTAAAGAATCTGGTAAACAAAAGAGTGTTTCAGAAACTAAGCACATAGAAGAGAATGTGCTGGAGCTTAGGCAAGAAGAATGTTGGCGGGGTAAAATCAAACCTCAATTTAAAATTGAAAATAATTCCGATGCAGAAAATAAAGTTGATATGCAATCTTTGAAGTCCAAGGATTTTCTTGCAACATTGAACAAGCCCTTCAAGAAAAGACAGACATATTTAACACCATATCCAAATATCTGCCAAATAATTGATAACCCTTATATACGAAAACCTTTAGGTGTGCTGCAGAATGGAAGTATTTTAAACACCATCAAAATAAAAAATACGATATATAAGGTCAATAATACTTGTCCATTTGATTCTCTGCTGCATTGTGTGTCCACCATGTATGTTGATTACGAATTGTACAGAAACTTCATAAATAATTCGGAAAACCCGTTTTTTGGTGGTGTTAAATATTTTGTTGAATTTGGTTTAAATCAAAACATGTATAAAAAGAGAGCCCAGTTGTTAGTGGACGTTTACCCAAGCCTTACACTTCATGGTGGAATTATTAGTTTGAATGCAGAAGATTACATTGGCAATACAATTCAAATGTTTTTAAAAAACATTCCCAGTGCAACTGAAACATATACATGTCAAAATGCAGCATGTAAAAATAACCGAGAAATATGCAATATCTTTTGG